CGTCAGCACCCCCCCCCAACCAGTCCCTCGGAGTGGAGCAGGGTCCTGGTGTGGGAGCCTGGCGCAAGGCTGGGTCCCAGCACAGGATCCCAGTGCGATGCTGGGACCGAGCACAGGATCCTGGCACAGGATCCCAGCACTGAATCCTGCTGCAACACTGGGTCCCGGCACAGGATCCCAGTGCAAGGCTGGGACCCAGTGCAGAGTCCTGGCACAGGATCCCAGTGCAAGGCTGGGACCCAGTGCAGAGTCCTGGCACAGGATCCCAGTGCAAGGCTGGGACCCAGTGCAGAGTCCTGGCACAGGATCCCAGGACTGAATCTTGCTGCAAGGCTGGGACCCAGCACAGGATCCCAGTGCAAGCTGGTTCCTGGCACAGGATCCCAGTACAATGCTGAGACCCAGCAGAGAACCCCAGCACAGCACCTCAGCACTGAATCCTGCTGCAAGGCTGGGTCCCGGCACAGGATCCCGGTGCAATGTTGGGGTTCTGGCACAAGGTCTTGGCCCAGGATCATGGTGCAAGGCTGGGTTTCCGGCATGGGGAGGGGTCTTTGATGCGGTGCAGGGTCCCGGCGCAGTACTGGATCCCAGCCCACATCCCACTGCAGGCTGAGTCCCAGCACAGGACCCCGATGTGAGGCTGGGTCCCAGTGGGGGTCCTGGTGCAGGGCTGCCTTTCCAGTATGGGGTCGGTGCTGCAGTGGGGGGGAGGGGGTCCCAGCACAATACTGGATCTCAGCACAGGATTCCGGCACCGGATCCCAGTGCAAGGCTGGTTCCCAGGAAGGATCTGGATGCAAGACTGGGTTACCAGCATGGGGGGGGGGTCTTTGCAGCAGCGTGGGGTCCCAGTGCTATACTGGATCCCAGTGCAGGGTCCCAGCCCAATGCCTGTAGGACTGGTCCTGAGCTGCTTTGGCCCTGCTGGGGTCACCTGGGATGGTCCCCCATGCCGGGGTCCCCTGACCCTGTCCCTTCCATCCCGCAGCCCACAGGTGGATCCGCCTGTAGCCGAGCGAGGGTAAGGACCCTGAGCTGCCCCGGGGTGGAGGGGGGGGGTCAGGCTGCCTCAGGTTCCCCCTCTCACCCGGCTCTGCACC